TGCAGAGCATGCGGCATAGTAACTACCACATGCTTTCCAATACCTCCACTTAAATTCTACTGCTGTGTGTCACTAACTAGCAAGCGGTAACAGCCGTCCAACGCCATACTCGTCCACACAGCTTGCCTGAACGATACCAACGGAGGCTAGACAAACCTTCCCATATCCACTGTCCTGAAACATAGTGGAAAAGGATCGTCTGCTGCCCATCGTACGCGCCGCATCGTATGCCTTCCGTTAACCAAAACCCGAACCAAGCTCTATGCACCGCGGAATGAGTTATGCGTAAGAACTGACAGAACGTCACAAGGAACTTCGCCTCCAATTTGCTTACAATCCAGGTAAGTTGACTCATCACCAGTTCCAGTGCTGACGCCTCTAACATTCGGAAATGGCGGCCTAAACATGGGAGGCAGCTTTTGTCAACGGGTGCTGCGGCGGTAGATTTGCGGATAGCCTGATGGTTCGGATCAAATGTCGTCCAGCAAGTGAGAAGACGCTCCCGTCCCAGGCGCTGGAGCTGGAAGTGCAGGCGCAGCGCCCTTGATGTATTGGTATGTCATTCGGCCGTACGCTACGGGCGGCACGTAGTTCTTTCTAATCTTCGGCGCCTGGCTAGCCAAAATTTCGTGGTTCCTTGCTAAACACAGCATCCACACCGCAATTGTGAGCAGTCCCATTGAAAACTGGAGAAATACAACCCGCAAGGAGTCGAGAAAATCAGCAGCTTGGATGCATGAGAGTCTGTGACTAGGTACTCACCAGCTTTGCCTCCGTTAATGTTCACGCCTAGTTTCTTGAACTTCCGCAGCGTCTTTGAGTCATTCTTTTCCACCTTCTTTACGATGCTCTGAAAAGAAGAGAAACAAACAGCCACAACAGTTTCTACTAGTCACGGAAGGAAGAGAGCACAAACACAGTGCTGAAGAGTAAGAGCAACGAAGGGCAGCTTAACCCACTGCAATCTGTTTGTTCCTCTGCGAGTCAATCTCCCTGAAACGAAAACGCAGCAAAACTTGCACATGACATACAAAGGGCTCCAAAAGCCGTACTCAGAATGCCGTGGAAATTTAATTGCACGATCTCCTGATTTTTTCGCACGCAACCCCTCGTGCAACTTGGTGGGTTTGGTGTAAGCAAGAGAGGCCAGTGTTGATGAAAAGCATCATTATACTGATGTTAGTGGAGAAGGAAAGCGTATCTTCGAGTGTTTAGTTTACCTGTCCTTCCATTTGCTGCGAAGCACCCGAATTGGTCTGTTGCCCACGTATTTGTAGTTCATTTCCTTGATTGCTTTCAGCATGTCGTTTGGATCCATAAAAGATACAAATCCTGCACGAGCAACCCACATACCGCCCCGGAGTTTTTCTCAAACATTTCTACTATTTCTATGCTACACGTTGCAGGCGAAGAGACTCTCCCCGTGCTACACAGCCGCAGCCGCCTCACCATAGCCTTTGGTTTTCCCCGTTCGTTTGTCTCGCACGACACGAGCCTTATCAAAAGATTTATATTTGCGGAAAGCGCTCGCCAGAACTTCATCTGTGACTTCGTTCCCGAGGTCTCCACAAAACACTCTGCAGCGCGAGCAAACACAAGCGGCGAGAGATTCTCTAACGAACTGCATTTCCCCCTCCACTCCCCCTTCATATTGTTTCCTGTTTCATTCATAAAAACACAAATTCTTTGCAGCAAAATGTTGTGCTGCCTCTCCCCCCACCTGTGGTCGTTCTCTGTCCACTCGTCGAGCGTTGGATCGCTCCATATATGTCCCGCTGCCTTTCTAAGATGAACTTTCTTCTTCTCTGGTTTCGCGGATGCCATCACACTGCCCATCGACGCGGCCTCCTCAGCCGTCAGACTCTGAGCCGCCTGCCGCAGAAAAAAAAAAAAAACAATCAAAAGAAAGAATATTCAAACAATGTTTCTAATGAAACAAAATTAACGGAAAATATACACTAAATAACAATCTCTGCTGTGCAGCTACGCCCGAGGGGAGACGTACGCAGTGGGTGGGATCCAGAGAAAGCTGAGCGCGGGGGTCTGGCTGTGCTGCGACGGGCTGTTGGACCTGCATGGCTGCTGCAGCTGCAGCAGAACACGAGGCAAAGCAAACCACAGACAAGAAAATTGCGTTAGTTGTGTATAGGGAGTTGTGTATAGGGTTTAGGGTTTGAAGTTGCTGCAGTGGTGCGCCTGAGACGGGAGCTGTATACTGCATTTGTGAG